CAGTACTATAAAAAAAATGGCGGGCTATATTTTTGAAATATGTCGCATCTGTTAATCGCCACCGATTTATCATTTTCTGCATGGTGTTGACAAGTTTTTTATAAATGTATTCCAACCCATATCATGAATGTAAAAGTCTGTAAGTATCAATGTTTGGATGATTTTTACTCAAGCGAGCACAAAGAGCTGAAAGGACTCTGATAAAATTTGTGACCAAATAAAATACTTTTTATCCCGGTAATAGTACTACGAATGTGTAAGTTTGTAAGTTTGGATGTGATGTTCGTTACTCGATCACACACGAATGGTTCCATAGATTTGAATTGCAAAATCCATACTTATTGTTCAAGCGCATATGTCAAGTTAAGATCCTATTTCAGAGGACAATGTCAAATTCATTGTTTTTCGATTTTTTCGATCTCCCGTTATCTCAACCAAATTGTACTATTTACTAATTGAAACTTGTAGTGAGAATTTGAATTTTAGCTAATGACCATCAGAGAAATTTTACAGATTTACAGAGACAGAGTCAAGTATTAGAATGGAGGTAAACCCGAAGTAGTGATAGAATAAAAATTCCTGTAGGTATCATAGAACTCCTGCTGATATATATTTTATCAAGAGCTGAACTTTCATGATATAACGTTCTTAAGAAACGAATGAATTATATAGGTAAGTTCAACTGAAACGTCATTCCGACAATATCCACTGCAGGTATTTTATAAATAACATATGAGTGTGTTCAGAATATTCACCCTTGCGACTCTTTCTGGTGATATATAACGTTTTTTATTCTGCTTCTTGACTTGCTGGGAATATAAACACTCGTAATACACTGAAACTACTGAATGTACTGCTCTCCTGGGGCGACCTAACCTTGATACGTTAAAACGTTCAAATTGCTCAGCCTCGTATACGTGAAAAAGATAAATAGAAAAGGAAAATACGAGAAATATGTGATAAACTGTTTTTGAAGTGCTTTTAAGTATTTGGAAAACAGGTAGAATATTTAAATCATTGGTTTGACAGAAGCAGATTTCAATAAAATCATCAATGAATATCCAGTGCCCTGCCATTATTGATTTCTCTCATTTCTGTCAGTAGAATTTCAAACATTTTTGTTTCTAATTCTATAGGATTCAACCTTATTCAACCACTATCAAATGAGTTCATTATTTTTACTTTTTCAAAAGTTCATACACCAGATTTTGATACTTTGGAAGGTGAATATCAAAATCAGTTACTGGGTGAGAAAATTGTGAGACGTCAATGGACGCCTGACAGATATGAAATATCAATAATAATATTTTGTGGCCCCTGTGATGATTGTTGGGTACTGAAACATTCATAAAAAATATGTGATTAAAATATACATGAAAAAATGTTAACGTGGCTGTATTATACTGGTAAACTCAAGAATCTAAGCTAGTTATTGCAATATATTACTCAAAATCTCAAATTATAAATATCAATAATGAATATTTTAATATAAATTCCACAATTATTAGAAAATAAATTTCGATGCAAGCAGGAAAGAGCAGCAGAGCATACAAAGCTCATTTATCGACGTCTAAGAAATCGTTTTATTTTGTCTCTCTGCAGCTTTGACCAGAAGCAAGCAACCAGATGATATCAGACTTCAAAAGCATTCTTGATTCAATACCTGACAATTCTGTTTGGATCTGCTATAAAAAAAAAGTATTACTAGGCCTGATAATGTTTGGATCTCATTTTGTCTTCAGACTTAACTTGAGTGAGAAGTGTTAATGACGACTACCCCCACGACAACATCATCTTATGAATCAATAGAAGAGTCAAGAAAAAAATGGTTCCAACTCAACGTACTTTAAAAGAGTGATTCGTTGAAAAAACAGAAAATCGCCAGCGCGAATCTTGTGTGACATCAGAGCGTATTGTCACGAGTGAATACCTGTGTATACCAGAATACGTCAAAATCTAAAGTGACTACACAGTGAGAAAATTGTTACAGCTTGACAAATAGTAGATTTTAATATTTCCTACCCTAGTGTTGTATAATATATATAGTGCGGAATTATATATCGAATAAAACTGAAGATGTGTAATTTTGTTACTGTGTAGAGACTCATTTGAAGAGTTATGGTTCACGAATATTATAAAAGAGAGAGGTTGAGTGGAAGGTGAGTTAAAAAAAACAGAATTAAATTTTTGGGGCAGGTATTGCAGTCGTAGACAAGAGAAAATTTGTACTCTTTTTTCTGTTCAAACTTCAGACAACTGTTTGTGAAAAATACATTAGAACAGTTTATTATGGTACTTACGAAAAGTGAGGTGACACATGTAGAGCCGCAGAAAATATATGAATTATACCAGATATTGAAATGAGAAGAGAAAATACTTATACAACAATTGGGACAAATTGTCAATGAATAAAAGTTCTTTTCGTTGGACGCATAGAGGACTTGTCGATGCCCAATGTAGTGTAAAAAATGTTTGAAATGAAGTGAAATATATCCATGAAAGTATTTTAAAATTTACTATTAATCTGAGATCCCAGTATAAAACGACTTCACCGAGCTGGTTAATGGATAAAAAGTGTTTTATATCACTTGTTATGCACTGTTTGGAACCTTTGGTGTACTAATGAATATTACGTGTTTCGACATGTGTTTTGTTCACCAAGTGATCATGTTCCAGAGGAAGATGAAACTTAGTTTGAGGAAAGCAGAGATAAGTGAAAGTACACGAATGATCCATAAATAGTCATTTCACGGAGGAATTAGTCCAGTCATCAACCAAAGACGAATGTGGATACTAACAATCGAAACGTCGTGAAGTAACTTGGTGTGGAATCTCTTTATATTTTAATTTTTTTTTATTCAATTGTTCTATTTTCACTTGTATTTTATTTCACTGTTATTTCATTTCAGGGTATTTTTGCTTAATATTATTGTTATTTTCAGCTATTCTTTCAGCTATTTTATTAGGTCTTTCTGTGATTTCAAATCATTTTATATAATATGAGACAATGGAAGTCCGAAATAATGAAATCCATCACGAAACATTGTCAATCACTTTCAAACATATTAAAATTGAGTTCAAATAAAGATTATTCCATTACAAACACGATGGTATAGGGTTGTATGCAGAAAATTAGCCCTGAATTTCGGTTGTCGAGTTGTAAAAAGTGAAATATTGCTACAAGTGGATACGTGCGACAGAGGGGTCCCATGCGATAGAAGAGGACACATCATTGCAGCTGTGTGTAGTTTGTCCACTGAATGAAAGAGAGTGCGCATGATATTTGTCACTGAAAATGAAAAGGATAGCGATAGACTCGTATAATTTTGGAATAGCTCGTAGGGTCGCTATAGTGAGAATTGAAAAAACCTGATACTATTTGGAAATCAAAAAGTCATGTCCAATGACTTGGATGTTGAATAATTTGTTAATTTAAACACTTCTGTAATTACAGTTCATCACAATACAATTTTTGTATAAAACACATCTTCATTATATATAATTATTTTATGATAAATTTTTGCTCTCTTCATTTTTATTTTGAATGCTGATGAAAGAAATATTTGTAAGATTAGTATTTTGTATACTTATTCTCATTCTAGAGTTCTGTTAAATATCGTTGCAACAAACATGAAGTTGACGGTCACCTAAAAAAATACAAATCCAAGTAAATTTTACAAATACACTTTAATTTGATAAAAAATACTCCAAACTGATTCGATTGTGGCTACTTCAAATACATATTGAAACAAAATAGTAAAAATATGTATCATACGGAGGTAATTCAAAATTTTCCAAAAGAAAAAAAAATTGAATACCAGGCCATGACTTCGTATCTGAACATAACTTTCAATTCTAAGCAACTTTTCTCTCTTCACATATTTCTATATTTTTTGAAATAAAGGTACTTTACTCCTGAACGAACTTCATATTTTTTGGCCTATCCTGTATGATGTTTGTCATAAAGCCATTTCAGATACACTTTGTGTAGTTTTGGAACATGCACCAACTTTTGTCAGGAATAATTTTTTTTTAGAAATCGATAATAAAAAATGTCCCATTTGTTGCAGACTTAGTGGATCACACTGTAGGTATACTTAAGTGTCACATAAAGTATATACACTCATATTTAATTGATTTATCAAAAAATCATTTCAAGAAGTATCTATTTCAACATTAAACTATAATCCAAAATGATGCGTAGCATTTACGAATCTATCGCTATTCTTTTCATTTTCACGGACAAATAGCATACGCAATCTCTTTCGTTCAATGGACCAACTACACACAGCTGCAATGCTGTGTCCTTCTCTATCGCGTGGGATGGTTCGCTGGGAGCCCTCGGTCGGATGTATCTACTCGCAACAATATTTCACTTTTTAAAACCCGACAACCGGAATTCAGGCCTGATTTTTTGCAAACAACCCTATACCACCGTTTTTGTAATGAAATAATATTTATTTTAACTTAACCCATTAGTGCATAGAAAATTTTTTATTAGAATTTATCAAATTTCCCCATAAAAATACTTCAAATGTGTTGTGTTCAACAAGTTTTGATAATTACTTCTTCAATTTTATCGTCAGATGAGAAATTATAGCACATCTTTTTAAAAGGACCTCATGCATAATTTCATGTTTACCATAAAATGTTGAAGACTGAAAACAACATCAATTTCTTAGGTATTTATTGTTTCCTATGATAGGTTATGAAACAGTGTTTTGGGTGAAGCCCTACATTACATTTCACACAGATGAATTTTGTATTTTTTCCACATATCTTACATTTTTTGTCATTCTCATGATACTGAATAAGATGATTCATGCCATCGAACCTTACATTCTGAATAGGAACAGTTGCCTTGTATTTTGAAGGTTTTTCACCATGAGTTTGCAAAAAACTGTTTGCAATGTACCGCCGAAAAGTGAGCAGATTGACACAATTGGGATCATGCGGTTTCAATTTTTTCATAAGCAACCAGGCATTCACTATGCTCACACCTAACAAGTATTGAAAAATTGGCCAATACACTTCCTTTGTCTAATTCTAGATCGATATGCCGCCACGAGCCCATCCATTTTATCGACACCACCCATCCTCTGATTATAGTTGTGAATAACTTTCGGTTGGGAAATATTCTTTTTAGATTTTGTTTCCCTGCACCATCTTTTCGCAGATGTAACACTTGTGTCTTCGAAATTGGTAGCCATGGTAACCACTTTGTTATCTTTCCATTGTGTTAGTGAAAGTTTACCGTTTGATAAAAATTTATAGGTACCTCTCTCTGATTTGTTCCAGAATCCCTTATCAGGAAATGGACAACCCTCCATCCTATTAGCTCTAATGGTACCTGTTGCACATATATTATTTCCTGCTAAATGAGTCAATAAAGTAATGCTGGTGAAGTAATTATCAAAGTATAATTTGAAACCCTTATTCGAAGGTATTCCTGCTGAGTTCACCAGCGATATCACATCTCCTTCTGAGCCAAATTGTTTCTCATTGGTGGATTTACCAGTATAAATATCGAAACTAACCATATAGCCAGTATTACTACAGAGGGCCCAGTTTTTATAGCCGAATCTGATTGGTTTTCCCTTTATATACTGCTTCGCATGATGCTTCCCATAGTAAGGTATCATGCTCTCGTCGTTCTCTGAAATTTTTGTTCAAATCATCAATAAGGGGACGCAGTTTATAGAGTTTGTCAGTGGAGTCATTTCGGAGATTATCATTGAAATGCATGTGTCTAATGAGTTGTTCAAAACGATTCAATCTCATGGAATTCAGAAGTATTTTAGGAGTATCTTCTCCACTATTCCAGAACATCCTCTTGTTGGGATACTTAGCATACCCAGAAAGTAAAATAGCCCCTAGTAGAACATATAACTCCTTTTTGGAAAAGTTGAGAGTTGTATTCTTATGCTGTCCATATTTTTCAGTTTGATCCACAATATTCTCCAGAATTTGATTTGAAAGGGTTATATTTTTAAGAGTGATTAATTTTTTGGGAAAGAAAGTTTTTGGCTTTCTACTACTCCATCTGATACAAAAAAAATGGATGAGAGAATCTTCCAAAGAAAGGAAGGATTAATCAATTTGAAAATAAGTAACTCTATACATGGATGTGTAGATCATGCAAAGAAGTAACTTTCAGAGAGTATGTATGAAAGTAGCTGTTTCAGGAGGACTTTCTTTCAGTTTGTGTCTGAAAGTTACTTCTTTGCATGATCTACACATCCATGTATAGAGTTACTTATTTTCAAATTGATTAATCCTTCCTTTCTTTGGAAGATTCTCTCATCCATTTTTTTTGTATCAGATGGAGTAGTAGAAAGCCAAAAACTTTCTTTCCCAAAAAATTCTCCAGAATATTGTCATCAAAAAATAGTTTGAAAAAATCTTCTGGTGTCTCTGCCATTCGGGCCTTATTTGATGGTAGCTTAGGTTCGCAGTGGATATTCATATCGTAATCTGGGGTATTCGTGGACCAATTATGTGACTTGTTCCTTTTCTTGCTCGATTGATTTTGTAGTATAGAGGTTGGTCGTTGAGATGTAGAGGGCATTTGTGATAATAATTGTTCTTTTAGAAGGGATAATGGAATATTTGATTCATCATCATCATCACTTTCGATGTCATTATTTCCATGACCTATTTCACATGGTTAATTGAGGATACCACGAGGTAAGTGATTTATATTACCTTTTTCTTGGTCAGATAAGTCACTATCTTCGTCTGTTTCTGCCCTAGTATTTTCAGGTGGTTGGATATATATGGTAGCACTATTAGAAACATTTGTTTCTTGTTCATAATTATCTTCTAAATATTGAAGTAACTCGTGAAGTGATAATCTGAAAATAACAGGAAAAATTGTACATCATGCATGGAGTCCTTTTTATGGGATCTGTCAAAAATACTACTATATTCATTAGGTATAACATGCGAATGCGAAAGAAACGTCATTGGGTGTTAGAAAATAGGTTATTTTATAGAATATCTTGGTTTTCATGATAATGGAATTGATTATCAGATGAAAATATTGAGTACTCACTCTCCATTTTTATTCGAATATAAACTTGGATCCATAATAGAAAATTTCAACACTTATAGCGCTCTACGGAAGGAACTTGTTACTTCATGCAATAACAGTGAGCAACTGGAAGGCATTGGCGATGTTTTGCGGTCGAGCAAAGCTGGAGGTACAGCATTGACAATTAAAATATCGACATCCATTTGAAAGGACCATATGCACTAATGGGTTAACTTTAATTCATTAACCAGACCGGTGCAAGTTACTGCAAGTTACTAGTATCGATTAACCTCTTAATATTTGCCTTCTCAAGAGTTGTGACGGAAAAAGTTAGTCAACCTGACATAAGCTATACGCTTCATATTTTCGATTGATAATAAATTTGTCCAATAACCAAACCAGTGAAATGTTCGAAAAAAAAAATCATATTCAGGACTGAAATTGTTTAGTCAACCCATTTGCAATATATTAATTGACATATTTGATTTGATATAAAATACTTTCCATCCATTAACCAGCATGGTGAAGGTCGTTTTATACTGAGATCCTATACTATATGAAGAGGAAAGCAGTGCAACCATTTTCTAGGTAGTGGGTGAAATAGTGTAATCGCAGGGTATTTTCTGTTGAATATTGAATTATGAAAATGATGTAAAGATTGAGTGAAAAACTTCATTATTTTATTAATTAGTAACTACAAATATAAGTTAAATCATTTTTTTTTCTTTGAATATAGTGCATATAAATGAAATACCTTTTTTTTTCATCTAGAATTTATGCATGGTCATTCCTAGAGATGAAGGAGCTTTTTTGTGAGATAAATAAAAGGGTTTTACAAAAATCTGAGCGTAAATATCGAGACATGCAGCAAGTTACCTTCACAGTATTCTAATATTCAATAATGTAGATTTGAAATTATCTCGCAGTCATTCAATTCTAAAATTGGAAAAATTGTCTATTATAGATATATCAAGAATATTTTCGCCCCGTCAGTTTTTATTGAATATTATTTTTCTCCTTTTTGAATCATGAACAATTACCATTCTTGATGGAGTTATAATTCCAATAATTCACCCCAATCAAATTCAATGGCAGTTGGTTAACACCGCCAAATTGAATTTCAAACTAACAAAATGAGAAACGATCGACAGTCTGGAAATTCTCAGGGTTCAATTAGACCTTCCATTCGACAATAAAAACCCTCTTTGATGATATTATCTTTACTGCCAATGTCGATTTTCCAGCAACTCCTGATTAGGAAGCACCAGTAGTTCATTTTTGTTCACTCTATTTTCAGCCTGTTATATAAGTGATTCTAGGGAATCTCTAGGTTTTAGTTCATGAATGACAAGATTGATCGGTGTGAAAATGTATTGATATACAAAAAATTTCGGAATTGTATGATAACCAATCAAATACCGTCCGATCAGTCAACATTTATATTCATAAAAAACACTGAATTTGTTGCACCTGCAGTAAAAACTAGACCTGCTGGTCTGTGCTCCTGCGTCAGTTTTATTTTGAAAGGTGGAGTACAGTAGTTACAGAAATTCATAATTGGAAGGTGATTTCGTGATATCAGCAGCTGAAGGCTATATTCGTCTAAAGTGTAAACAGTCAAAGATGGTTGTTACCTATGAAACTGCAGATGACACGAGAATATGTATTTGAGAATGTATTCGACATTGGGTTTTTTCATTGATGATTTCATAAAACAGTAGATGACTCTGATCACACTTGCACCATTATTGTTCTCTTTTGTTCCATAGTTTCAAACTAGACGTACAAACAAACCATTTTCAAAATAAATCACATGACAGCTGTAACTGTCAACTGTGTTGTCATCTCTTTACTTGGTCTGCAGCTACATGGCTTTTACCAGTATTTTATAATATCGAATCGAATCACGATTCTATTATGTAAATTCAAATATTATTCCTTATATCAGTGAGGAGACAAACTTTTTAATTGTGGTGACTTGTTTTATTTTACTGGCATGTTTCAACTATTTGAATGTAATATTCTTTTCGACACGGCCATCCTCATTAACAATAAGTTGAGTCTTTTTGTAACAATTTCATATTATTGTATCAATTTTTGTAGTCTTTCCTTGATAATGATAATAAACTCCGAAATAACCTGCCTTCTATCTGATAGAAATGCTCAAAATGCCCCTACCACCTGAATTGTGGTAGTGATATACACTGATATACAAAGTGATATACACTGTCCGCCACTCGCGATGGAACACCCCATTTTTATGGTAAACATATTAGGGGGCAAAATAGGCTCAAAATTCCTTCAGATTCGTGATCAGGACTACCAACTTACTACGATTACACTTTTTTCCTGAAAGAATTTCAGTCCTGAAAAATCCGAATTTGTTTCACTTCTCATGGAAACACCCCCGTATCTTCCGTAATTATTGAAGTAGATTGTTTTTTTGGTTTTGACATCAAAACATGAACGAAATTGTTTGAGAGAAACTCGACTTTTGTTTTTACATAAATAATTTATTTTTTATTTTGTTGTCAGGAAAGTTATTCCTTCTCAATAAGAGAGAAAATAGTAATGCTGTAAGAGGAACGGAAACATGTAATCAGTGAGGTTTTAGGATGGTCAATGTTAGTTCATATTCCCATTTTCCCATTATTTAAATAAAAAGAACAAGGATATTTTGTGGCGAAAAATGTTATGTAGTTCAAAATTCTTTCGAAGTACTACTTTTAAAATCACATTTTCAATTAAAAAACTGTAGACAATTTTATACTTCCGTGCCTTCTATGAAATTTCCCTCCAATCGAACACATTTTTCTATGCGCTTTCTATTATTTCCTCCAACTCAGTTCTCTAGGTGTGATTTCTCTACACGCTTGTATAATTCTTGCACGGAGATCTTTCTTATTTGTTGGCCTATCCTTATAAACTTTATTTTTCAAGTTTCCCCATAAATAAAAATCCAGTGGAGTTAAATCTGGGGATGGTGGTGGCCATACTACAAGAGGGCTATTTGGTCCTATTCATTTCATAAGTAGATTCCTATTCAACCAAACCCTTGTTATGCCAATATTGTGAACTGGTGAACCATCTAACTGAAAAATCTTGCTGTGTATCACATCCAAAGGTAGTTGTTCCAACACATCGGAAAATGCCATTTTCGAAAAAATCAACGAATAGTCGTCCGTTTAAATTTTGATCGAAAATAAATGGCCCGATAATATTTTCGTTCAGGATACCACACCAAACATTAACTTTCTGAGATATTTGGTCTCTACAATTCACCACACAATTTGGATTTTGTTCAGCTCAAAACCTCATGTTCTGTATAAGATATACTGTAAAAAATTCCTGTCATTGAGATAACTTCCCTGCATCCATAAACAATACTCCATACGGCGGATTTCATCTCCCTCGTGCAAAGTATGTAAAAATTTGGATTTGAACGTATGCATTTTACGCCTCTGTACCTCTAGTGGGTGTCTTCTATTAAATTCAGCGGCCGCTACACGATAAGACCTCACCCCTTCACCAACAATTAAAACAATTTAAATTTTTTCTTGAAGCGAACTATTTTGCGCCGTAATATGTTTTACCGTAAAAATGGGGTGTTCCATCGCGAGTGGCAGACAGTGTATATCACTTTCGCCAACCCCATTCAGGTGGTAGGTGCATTTTGAGCACGTTACGTGTGGATAAATTTTGGTCACTGGAATTTTGATGATTGAATTTGGGTAAGTTGAATAAATATTTATTCAAAAGCTTAGGAGGATATGAATTTTCCATTAGAATATGTTGAAAAATATTCTTATGGAAAACTCCTAAGCTTTTGAATAAATATTTATTCAACTTACCCAAATTCAATCATCATAATTCAAGTGACCAAAATTTATCCACACTAACTTCACGTAACATTAGGCATGCATTTTCTGAAACAGATAATTCTCCATCTTCTAATGAGAAAAATCAAATTATATATAATTATTCTATGAGATATATTCCAAATTTAACCCCGAAATTACTTAATATATTTCGAGACATAAAAAATATTAGAATTTCTACCAAAAATTATAAAACAATTTCATCCCTATATTCTGAAATTAAAACCCCTCTTAGCAATAAAGAAAACTCTAATATCATATATAGTATTCCATGTTCTTTTTGTGATTCAATTTACATTGGTGAGACCAGTCGTAATCTTTCTGGAAGAATCACTGCAGACTCAACAAACATTCTTGTGGACAGGCTGAACAATTAAACAAATAATTTCAATATAATAAATTATATACCACTTACATCATTAAAATCTCACTGTATTTGCAAATATCTTAAAAATCACATTTTCTCTGGTGCTGTGACGTCAAATTTGTATTTGACTTTTCGGCTTTTCTATGTTTGTATTTATATGCCGATTTATATTTTAAACTAACTTTGGTGAGTCCTTTTTTGATATTTCATCACTGTATAATATTTGCATCATACTTTTGTAGACATTCTTGATAAAGGAAAAAATGTTTCCGAAAGTTTGAATAGCAGAAAATAGTGTTTCTATAGCCCACAGAGATTTGACTGAAATATAGAGCCTTGAAGATGATAGCACTGCCAGCTATCGAAAGCGCTCGCATATAATAAATAGAAGTTCAAACCTTCGTCGCCGATACAATTGAGAAGAATGGCTATTTTGGTATCCTCTTGAATTTCAGATTCATCAAATGCTTTCAGATATCTTTCGAATTTTTGTTTCCAAATTGACCAATTTTTGATGTCGTTATCAGTTACCGGGCTCGGTGTTTTGTACAGAGACGTTATTTTGACTTCACCAAATAACAAATGATTTTCTTTATACACTTTTCTTGACTTATGGGCTGGAATTCTCACAGACGAGTAGCTACTCCTGATTTTGAAACATCAATAAACAGAAACAAACTTTGTTATCTATCACTTGTTACAACAGTGTTTGTACCTTTCAGTTGTACCTCTCTTGGTATCTCTCGTCATGAAAACCAGCATAGCTTACTATTTATAATAAAGGGTAATGAAAATACATATAACATTTTCGATATTATTTGAGGCTGCTGGTACTACCGTCGATAAATTATTATTTCTGACAAAACAGGTAGATTTTGGGAAACAATATTACTTCTAGAAAAACTGGTCATTTAAAGATATATTGATTCTTGCCATTTTATGAAAACAACAACAAAACTATTGAACGAATAACTTCGTGTTGGTCGTTCGAAGAAAATTTGGTGTTTGCATTTATTGATTTCCAGCATCTTCAATTTTTGTCCTTTATTTCCTGTAATTAATTTGTCCGCGGTGAAATTGTGGTTGTACTCCAGAAGATGGCAAGCATAGGTGGAATTGGTTTTCTTCAGTTCGAAACTTTTTTATTCGGAGGTTCTCCGAAGTCCTTTCCATAAAAACTTTTGGACATGATGCATATGTTAGCTTGTAAACCCCAGATTTGTTATATTTCCCCAAGTTATCCTTCATACGTCTACCCAAGGATGTATTCCATCAGTTCGGACTTTCATTGTCTAATTTGATATAAATTGATTTGAAATCCCTGAAAGAATCTGTGAAAAATTTAACAGATAAACCAAAAAATAACAATTTTATTGAACGAAAAACTGAAATTACAAAGAAATAATATACAAGCAACAACCAAAAAAATAAACAAATTGAAATAATAATACAAGCTGAAAATTGAAAAATTTCAAAATATTATCAACAAGAAAATAAAATTGAAAATTGAAAGATTCCAAACCAAGTTATGTCACGACGTTTCAATTGTTAGTATTCACAATCGTATTAGGGTGATAACTGGACTTATTCCTCCGAGATCTGACTATTTATAGGTCATTCGAGTGCTTTTACCTATCCCCTCTTTCCTCTCACCGCTTCATTGGTTTTAGCGGGAGATGACCGTTTGGCGGGAGTTGGTCGTTTTCCGCTTGATTAGAGGTTTCCATATGTTACGTATCTCTACCCGTTGTTGGACAACCACGCATTTAGCCAAGCTACATTGTCAACTACCTTCAAACAAACGTCTACCCAAAGAGTTACCGGTCTTATATGGTATATTAGTGTGTTTTTTGTTAGTAATATTTTCATTTCATCTAATGGTTTCATTGTATACGTGAGTGTTTTGTGAATATTGGTGTTATATTTTGTTAATGCCACGTTTGAAAAGTTGTTTGTCAATTATTATGAAATGAATCATGTGGGGTTGAAAGTTGTTGTTTACTGCAATTTGTTATATCAAATTAAAATTCTCTGTGGTGATCAGTGTGGTGTTGGTTGGTTTGTGGTAAATTGCGAAATCATGTTTGTTGTTGATTTCGATGAACGATAAATTTTTTGATTCCACAATTACAAAAACCAACAACGATTGGATTGAATTTGACTTCATTTCATTAATCGATACACTTCCATTGATTTTAACATTATAGGACATTATACAAAAACTAGTAGAAATGAATGGAAAACATACGTATGTTATACTGGGTTGGTAAGTTTTATGAAGTAAGTTTTTGATGGCTAGGATCAGAGAAGTTGAACTGATTTGATACTATTTTTTGTCAATATTTGAGAATGGAGAGATGAGTTGAACTGGGATATAAAAATCATGAAAATTGATTTTGACAACATGTCTCACCTGAAATTGTGCTTTAATTCACGGTGGAATTAGGACAGTATTTTCTATTATCAATAATGATCTTCACAGCGATACAATATAATGCATCCCCATTCTCTTTGCCAAAATTAGTTTGTTTAAATGGAAAAACTATTCTCAGACGTAAACATCTTTGTATGATGCTAGTTTAGTTAGTGAAACAACAATATAGAGACAGTGGTTGAACGTTCTCTACTCATAAGCGATTTTGGTGAAATTGGTGACACGTGTGAATCATTGTATTCGTGCCACGTCCTAGTATAAGGATGTCTACAGAATGCTGTATAATGTCCGCTGTATGGAAACCCACTGTGTTTCGAAAGTGCATATAGATTATAACGACTAGGAGTCAAATTGTCTGCTGCATAATTGTTCATATCTAATCCATGTAGAGAAAATTCGATGGCAACATTTAACTAGCCTCTAAATCTTTCTGTCAGAGGAAATCTTTTAAAATGAAGGAGTAGAATACGGAGAAACTTATGGATCGGCAGAGACTTCGAGCATTTTTTTTTCTTTCCTTGCAACTTGAACACGTCAGTTTTTTATGTCCATCCAAAGTTTCCTCTCTTGTGAAGGAATTCAAGTACTGCGATAAACTCAATTGGCCAGCTTTTTGTGGTATGGGGAGTGACAAATCCCAGAAAGGATCGAAGATTACAGATGAGTGTCCACAATGTGTGCACTTCATCGTGGATTTTAATTGACTAACGAAATCATCTACAATCTTAGAGTTAGAGTTATATGTACTCAAATAAATCAGCCGTGACTCTTGTGCTTTTCCGCTGTCGCTCAATTTTTCGTTAATCTCCGTTGAGATCGGTTAAGGTTTCTCAATAATTCTTTCGAAGTCATCATGTAAACCTTATAAAACATAACGAAGGCACTCCTGGGCGTCTTTATACGCATGACCCATGAATCGAGGGGTAAAACTCTGAATCTGACTTTTTAAGGAGACTGTGACCACAATTCCTTGATAACTTCTGCGAAAGCTTTCATTAAAGCACCCTCCCTCCGTACTAGAAATATCAGTATTGATATCTTTCATGCACTCACCTTCATTCAAATATTCCAGTAACCATCTCGTATTCGATAAACATTGGATTACACTGTTCATGAAACAGGTGATGCCAATATTTTTCAACCCATTGAGCCCAAGGGTTTGGACTGAGGAATGTATCACTGATCTAATTGTGTTGTAGCGATGATATTTTCCATCATTGGACCAACGGAATGGGGAATTTGAAGTTGAATTTCTTGAAACTGAATCAGATATATTCTTGGTGGTTTTTTTGAATTTGTGATAGAAAAATAGTTCCAGAACTTGTTTATTTTCCTCTGCATCTTCTGAGACAATTGGGAAATGATCACTTTGCTTACTCCATTTTACGATGCTCATAGGAAATTTTGATTTGATTTGTGGGTTCAGGAATATTTCATCTAATTTTTGAGTAGATGGAAGAGTACCCAATATCTATGTGGCATTACCCCTTTGAATGGCGATACTGATTCCTTAAATTAAAAATGAATAGACTCGGCTGTCATTGGTAGAATTCATCATTCGTCCACCAATTTTTTTCAACAATTCAGAAGCATGAGATCCAAAAACACCAAAGGTTTCAATAGCAACAGGAAAGAAACAGTAGGAACTTAGCAAAGTGGAGTATTTCCGAAATTTTGATTTTTCTGCAATCATAGCAGCTGCACCAGTGGAATTCGACGTAGCGGCAAGGTGTGAAGCTGCAACTGTATCCACGCAGGTGAAGTCCCAAACCAGAGGTTTTCCAAATTCCCAAGGAATTAGACTCATCCCGTCTGGACGCTATCCATCATCTCGACTAACAACAAGGGGTTCAAGAACTGAAGGAACCTCTGCAGTGGCTAGAGCTCTTTTTATAAGATCATTAATGAAATTATGGTTTGAAAACGTGCCAGAACTAAATTTACAACTTAGGCCATGGTAACCATTTTTTTCTAGAGTGGATCCACATCTGCATTTATTACTAACACAAATTGAAGAACCTTACCGAAGACCTATCGAAATTCTAAAAGATGCATCATCTAAGAGGGTACCCAAAGAAGCCACGGAAAGAGCATTCAGCCAGGCACCAGATTCTTTGGGCATAACAGCTTTGAGTCTAGCCATTTGGATATCGGAACGTTCAGCTGACTCAAGATGGGCTTTCTGACACTTTTTATTTTCGGGAAGGGTATTTTCCTTTGAGATAACCATTAATTTTCACCATTCAAGTAATACGCATCAGAAATTTCAGACAAAGATTTGGAAAGAATGGAGTTGATCAAATGACGAGAACTGTTATGAGAGGAAAGAAATGCTGGCAGTGAGAGGGGTGAGGTTAATCGAATACCTAAATCACCAGAGTTAACTGGGAGAGTAGCTTGACTCCAAGTGATATCTTCGAAATCATTATTGATAATTTTTTGTGAAGATTGGCGTTAGGTGGAATCGAATTCCTGTAACTCAGTTTGACATATCCAAGTTGGACTGCATCTCAGGGTATACAATAATCTGGCATCTCAGGGTATACAATAATCTAGGGATTGCCAAACGGTATTTAAAAAAAAATATGCTATATGGGGAGGAAAACTATTGAGACGAGATGACAGTGGAATTAGAGAATTTTCTGTGTGAGGCAACGTGATAAAGACTCTACAGAGAGAGGAGCTCCCAATAAAGACAAGTGTGTTTTGGGTACAATCTTAATTTGTGGAGAAATCATTGTGAAAGGATTTGTAAGTATCTGAAAAGGGGCAAAAATTTCACACTGACTTTGTCAGTTCTTGCAAGGTGAGGCAGAAAAGAGCAAGACCTAGAGGATCGTTTTATTGAAACCCTCTCTGAGATAATAATACATACATAATAAAAATGAGAATAAAAAAATTATCATTTGTGAGAAACAGCAGAAAATTGAAAAAATTAGAGAGACTCAAAGAGTGAGATGTCAAACCAAGCTACTTGATAATTTTCCGAGTTATTATTACCGGAAGTCGACTCAGTATACTGACAATCGGAACATTCTACTTCTTCCCTTGAAAAGTTTACATTCACTTCTTACCATTTTTTGGGTTTACAACCTTCCACAATCTGAAAAACAAAACTATATCTATAGAGAATCTGATAAAGTTTAATAAAGGTTGAACTGAAAAGTTCACCCCGAAAACTTACTGCCTAATATAAACCACTGGAGAGTTTGATTACATGCTGCCTAATGAACAATTGGACTCTTCAGTAACTTTTCAGGGTGAACTATTCAATTTGCCCTGCATCACCCTTCAACTTTGTCTATTTTTTCAGATTGTGGAAGGTAGTAAGAAGTATTGAATCCCCTACAAAAAATGTCTTTCAAAGAATTTGTCATTTTTTTTCTATCTTTGTATACGAATTTTCATTTTGAATTTAATAAAGTAGAAGACAAAATAGCTATTTATGATATGAGTGTTGAGAGTAAAGTATTATTTTGTGAGTGGAACAAAATGAAACTTACTTTAAACACAAATATCAAATGAAGTTTTTTGTAAAATTGTCCTGTTTTCATGATAAAATAGACAAATTTAATATTTCTATAAAAACGCTTTTTGACATCTCTTGTCAGCTAACTATTTTCATGTTATCGCATTTTCTGTGAAGTGGCCGTGTCAGGTGACGCCAAATTACCTGGTTACTAATGAACAATAGTATTGTTTACAGCTCACTCGTTTTATTTAAAGTCATATTTAAAGTTCTTGCTGGTGTTTAATGTATATAATACATTTGTAACAGAATTTAATTGTATCTGTATCTAGTGTTGAAAATATTTTTACCACGCTACTTTGTAAACATCATCTTTCAATACTCTTGACAACCATTAAAAATGTATCTTTCAAAGACAGTTGTACAAAAAATTATTTCCTGAAATATGCTCACTGATACATTTGATGGAAAATATCAAATATAAAAATTCATATGTAATTCATATCGAAATATCGAAACCATTAATTGTGAAAACACCACTGATTCATGAAGGAGAATCGTTATAAAAGTGAATTGTTTCTTGTCGAGTGTCATGTCGTGAAAACGCCAAGTCGTCGAGAAAACGTGCAAATAATTGTGTCGGACCTTCGAGTTCACGATCTCCCTCAACAGAAAAACCACGCCTGATGTGTCATAAAACTGGATAATCAGAGAACAGTACGGTTGGAGGATCGACACCATTCCATTTTTGTTTTTATTTCCAGTGTTTCTCACGGCGGAACAGGGAATGGAAGAAAACGGAAAAACAGTTTGTCAGACTTATGAACCTTTTCGATTCATTTCCTGTCTGGGATTTAGTTATTTTCATTCTTTTACGAACCTAAGTTGTTTTCTATTCTTCGTGAGTGATCATTTTCAATAAAAACATTTCACTGGCAGTTTTTTCTCCCTATAATAAATAATGAAACATTATTTTTTTATTGTTACAACTTCGTGAATGGAACCTAATTTTTGATTCATTCGACAAAGTTTGAATTTACTCAAATCAATGCATTTCTGATGTGTGAATTCAACCAATAACTGTTACCCCGGAGGGTTTATTATGGCTCACACCTATTTAACATCAGTTTCTTAAGTCAGGAGATTACTCTCTTTGGTAAGTGATTTTTCAGATCAGCTGGAAAGAGTAAGACTCCGCCAAACGCTGAAAGCCTGAGTTGGTTCAGCCTGAGCACAGAGTATGTGTTCTGGTACCAGGACTTCAATTTCCCAGTAAAGAATAATTGTTTTCAAAATTGGCAGACTCTGATACATTTTCCTCAACCTGATCGGCGGTCCGTCTGTGATCGACTTTCTCAGGTAGGACAGCAACACAAATGTGTATATAGCGTGTGGAGTAGGTTTGCTGTGATGCATTCCAGGAAGACAATTTTCCCTGATTACAGGATACTAACTGCACCTACCAGAAAGGAGACACTTTTTTAATCTCCTCAGGTAACCTGTAGCTATGCAGGAAGATATGTTCTCCTCAAAATCGTACATCTGGACCATCTTTTGGAATATTTTCTATGGCAGCCATAATGGTATATGAAAGAAAATTCAGTTGAGTGGTCGATATTGAGGTTGTCGGATATTAAAGGTGCAAAATTTTCACTTTGATGCCCGCAGCAATCTATCTAAATGTAAGTCAGTTATACCTACGATACACCAAGCAAACTTTTGTAAATCATCGTTCAATCTTGAAAGTTTGCTGACCTGCTCAAGGGGAGTTTGTCTCCTCTCCATTCTGAGCCTCACGAGCTTGAGAATATCAATTTGATAACCGCATCCTCAGTCAGTCGTATGGGCTTTCGTCTCCTCTTGAGCTACTATAAATTAATTGGTTTGAATTATTGAGAATTGAAAATATATTCATCAAATGAAATTGAATAATTCATTAATATTTTGCTCAATAATTCAGATGTATTTTTCTGATTAACTTGGCGATTACTTGATGGAGATATATACTTATTTCACAAACTACACCTTAAGATCCGATCTTCACAATCTTTATTTTCAAATATATCACGATATGTTTCGCTATCACAGTAGCTTTTTCGTAACATATATGTTATTCACTACAGCCCTGGAGTCATTAGATATAGAGGTCACTAAAGCTATTATCAAGTTATTTGTAAATATCACATATTGTAAATAGTCACTGATATGAAAAATAAGATATTATGTCTGTTTTGAAACGATGGAGACTGAGTAGTGGACTTTGTTGTTGAAGTATTTTACTCATAACAAAGTTATGAGGGAAATAGACCAATACATCGGTTTACAAACCTGAAGTCGGAAATACAAAATACCTTCTCAGATGATGACTCTTTTCCTAATTCAGAACGATAAAAATGAAAAAAATATTCAGTTTATTTCTCAATCTAATAGATCTCTTGGGAAACAATAAAATTCAGTGGCTAAAAATATGAGTTGAGAAGGTATCCACTATGCCAATGCTGGTGTTTGAGACCTAGATAATATTATATTTCAGTTGTACTCTTATTATAGCAGCTGATAGGAATCGTACGTTGAACTATAAGACTACTTAGTGTCTCTTAGCTCGCGCGTGTATTTCAAGACTTCTCACGGTTGCGCAAAAATAAGGGGTAGCTTGTGATTAAAAATATTTTTTCAGTTATTTTCATTCCGCAGTTAATGTAATTCTGGTGGGATTATTGGCTGTATTATAATTGTTGTAAAATAGATAACTACTGAGAAAATTTAGCTGATTCGAGAAGTCTGTTGGTAGTTTCAGAACCACAGATCGAATATACTTTGAGAAATCAAAGTATGAGCTAGTAAATTAATAAAATCTTTGACTCCTACCCGATAGATAAGATGCAAACCAGTTCTGAGTAATACCCTCAATACCATAGAGATAAAGTTTTCTGAGCAGAATCTCGTGATTAACACAGTCAAATGCTTTAGAGGTATTGCAAAAGAGTGCTGCTGTGATCTATTAATGTAACTAGACACTTCATATAAAAATGACTGAAATTTTACCAAAGTTCAAATGTTCGGTTAAACGTAATTTTACCAGTTTTTCAATAATTTTTGCTAACGATGGAATGAGAGAAATTGGGCGAAAGTTCGAAGGATTCTCTTGATCACCGCCTTTGTGAAGAGGGATTACAATCGAGGTTTTTAAGAACGAGAAATAAATGATTGATTGCCTTCGCCAATGCATTCAGAGCAGTAACAGGATGATTCTCAAAGATTTTCATCGATAGCTTATATGTGTGGGAATAATCATCTTCTGTTGACGCCAAAGCGGTAAATGAATCGTGTGTCGAAAAAAACAATCAACAATTTTGAAGTGAGATAGTTGAAAACAGCATCTTGAAATTCACATATATATCATCATCATCTTCCAAACTTAATTTTTCATTCTCAATTCTAATTGTGTGAATTCCTTCAGAAATTCTCAATAATATTGAAACGAGCAAATTACTTTGATCAACAATCAGAAACAATACTGAAATCAAAATGTATAGTGAACTTTCACAATTGAAATCAAAGAATAAACTCTTTATTGAATTGTTTTCCAAACATTTTATATATAGTTTGTACAGCTGCTGTGCACGTGAACTGCACATTTTCTAACAGCAGAAATTTTCCATATATTTGCTCAT